TTCTAAATGATAGCTCTTCTGGATAGAGTAATCTTGAATGGAGGTCCTTGTCTTTTATGACTTTGAATACTTCTTGCCAGCTCCTTCTTGCCTGCAAGGGGTCTTTTGAGATATCAGCTGATAGTGTTATGGGAGCGCCTTTGTAGGGAACTGTCTCCTTTTCTCTTGCTGCTTTTAAGATTCCTTATCTTTAATCTTGGGTAACTTAATTATGATGTGCCTTGGTGTGTGCTTCCTTGGGTCCAACTTCTTTGGGACTCTCTGAGCTTCCTGGATTTCCTGGAAGTCCATTTCCTTGGCCACACTGGGGAAGCTCTCCATTATTTTTTCAAGTAAGTTTTCAATTTCTTGCTCTTCCTCTTCTCCTTCTGGTGCCCCTATGATTTGGATGTTGGAACATTTAAAGTTGTCCCAGAGGTTCCTAAGCCTCTCCTCATTTTTTTGATTCTTCATTCTGTTCTAGTTGAATGTTTATCCCTCTCTTCTGCTCCTGATTATTGATCTGAGTCCTGGTTTCCTTCCCTTGACTGTTGGTTCCCTGTATATTTTTCTTTCTTTCACTTTGCTTAGTCTTCTGTTTTTCCTCCATTTTGCAACCATACTGAACCAATTCAGTGAGCATCTTGAATACCAGTGTTTTGAACTGTGCATCTGATAAGTTGGCTATCTGTTCGTTGCTTAGTTCTATTTTCGGAGCTTTGATCTCTTCTTTCATTTGGGCCATATTTCTTTGTGTCAGCTCACCTGTAATGTTGGAAGGGGCAGAGCCTTAGGTATTCACCGGGGCGGACAACCCAGGCCACTGGGTTGCGATGCTGTGTATAGGGGGAGGGGTCCAAGAGGGAACAATGCCACTTGCTGGGCTCTTGGCCTCCTTTCAGTCACTTCCCCTGCTACTCACAAGCAAATTGGGCCCTTCTAGTGCTGATTCCTGGGTGGGCGGGTTTGTGTACATTATAGGACCCTGTGGGTCTCTCCAACAGACTCTCCTGTGAGGCTGGGTATTTCTCCTGCTGCTGCAACTGCCACAGGTTTTTACCTCCAGAGGTTTTGAGGCTTTATTTTCCTGCACTGGATCCCTGGGTTGCTTCGTCTGTCTCGCTCCCCAGCTGTTCCTCACAGTTTATCCACACGCAAATGTGGGGCCACCCAGTCCTCTAGCTTCCACCTTGCCTGCCCAGTCCTCCAGCTGCCACCTCAATGCGAGTCCTCTCCACCCCAACTACCCATCTCCGCCCTTCCTACCGGTCTGGATGAATGTTTCTTCTTTACCTCCTTGGTTGTTGGACTTCCATTCAGTTATATTTTCTGGCAGTTCTGGATATTTTTTGTTTTTAAATTTGTGGTTGTCCTTTTTTTGGTTGTGCGAGAAGGCCAATTGTATCTACTTATGCCTCCATCTTGGCCGGAAGTCTCTTAATCATTAAACCTAGGATCAAATCTGGCTGAGGCTGCTTAATTGTCAGGCCCCAGTATGGGCATCAGCAGCTTCTACTGAAGGAAGTGTGGCACTGGTGAGGGACACAGGAACAGCAGGTACCAGCAAGGAGGCCGGAGAGGAAGTAACAGACTATCATGGAGGTGAGACATGTCTGAGACAAGTTCTCAAGAATAACTGGGAGGAAACTTAGGGAAGGCTTAGGCCCCACCTCAACACATAAGCCAGCATAGTATGGGTCATCAGTGTTAATTTATCTTCACAATAGAGATGGAAACATGTGAGTTACACATGCAGCCCCTACATGTGCCAGCACTGTGCCGTGACTGGTGCTGCCAAGGTGGATATGGAACAGGTTTCTCCCAAGCCCAAAGCTTCTGCTCCCTGGAGTAGATGTCCTGCATTTCTCTCACGCTCCTTGTTGCTATCACCTGTTGGTGCTCTGCTACTCAGCCCCTCTTAACTCTGGCAACTGCCCACAAAGAGTTTGTGTTCAGCTGAGAAGAAAAATTGAATGTCCCTCTTCCCCTGCTATACTGGGAGTTCCCTGATAGCGGGAATTATTGTTTTGTTTGTCCTTGTCTCCCTCCTCAGGGCATGCCATATAACAGGCAATCAGTAGGTACTGGATGACTGAGATTGATGGGAAAATGGAACAAAGGGTTTTAACAAAACCAGAGGCATAAGGAAGGCTAAAAAAATAGCATGTCAGCCAAGCTAGGAAGGGTGAGTGGAAGTAAATGACAGCAGAGATGGGCAGTGTTGGGAGAAAAGCAGCTTTCATGAGAAGCAGTATATGTCAAGGTGCTGAGGAAAGAAGGTGCTGGTTGGCAGAACTGACGAAAGTGAAAGCTGAACTGGAGTGCTGACAGCTAGACGAGAGGGAGGTTTAGAGAGATGGAGAAGCCCCTGAAGGCCTTTGAAACTATGTTATGGACGTTGGGCTTCATCCTTGGGACCACAGGAAGCCATCGAAGGGTTTTAAGTAGAGGGCATGATCTGTATATGCATATTTGCGTCATTAGAGAGTTCATCTGAGATTGCACATGGTGACTGATTTGAAGGAATCAAAGGGAGCAACATGGAGACAAATAAGGTGATGTGAGTCCAAGAGAGAGACAGTAGTGGCTGGAATAGGGTTACAGCATGGAGGTGAAAGAAGGGGAGGAGTCAAGGATGACTCCTGGGTTTTTGGTTTAAATAAACTGGTAGGCAGTAGTGACATTTACTGAGACGGGAAATACTGAAGGAGGCACATGTTTGAGAGGAGCAGGGAGGATGGAGAATTCTGTTTTTGCCATGCTGCGTGAGATGCCTTAAACATCTGAGCTTGTATCTGGGTGGGGGACTTTTACATCTCAGCATGCATCTTCTGAGAAAGACCCAGGGAAGGGAAGCAATCTGAAGGTGGTCTGTATTTAAGTGGTAACTGAAGCCTCAAAATTGGTGAAACGATTGGAAAGAGTATGGACTGGAAAGGGCAGAGGGCCTTTTACCAAGCACCGAAGAATTTTCCATGTGTAAAAACTCAGCAGAAAGAGCCTGGTTCCAGATGGGGCCGACCATTATAGTCACCTGGGAAATTTTAAGAACAAGTGTCTGCTGGGTGACTACATAATCTACCTTTTAAAAAAACCTGTTGTACGATTAGAAACCATTTGGCAGAAGAAGAAGACTGTCACAGAGAGGATGAATGATTAGGAAAAATAAAAATAAAACAAAGGTGGTGTTCCAGATCCCAAGGGAAGGGTTTCAGGAAGAAAGGGATCAGACAGGATCAAGACTGAATTTAGCAACAGGAAGCCTGGTGATGTTTCATTCCTTAAAAGCAGGGAACTGGTGTTTGAACTCAATAAATGTTTACTAGGGGATTACAGGAAGGTGTCCAGCAGAGCACCCTGTGTTACTCAATGCTCTCAGAGGCATGCACAGGGTGGGAATGGGGAAGAAGGAGGGGAAGGAGGGTCTATCAGATGGCAGATGCAGCATCTAAACTGAGGCAAAGGAGATAAGCGATCCTAGGAGGGGAAATAATGGAAACAGAAGTATGATGAGTTAAGAGAATAATATATACTCTCGTAAATAGTTAGTTCCTGGCTTGAGCAGAGGAAATGAAGTTTAGGGAATGAAGCAAGAGAAGGGGGCAGAGCCCAATCATTAAGGACCTTATATGCCAAGGTAAAAGGCCCTGAAGAATATAAGTGGTATGATTAGATTTGTGATTTAGATAGCCCATTTTGGCAGACAGTGTGAATGCCCTGGGGTCAGGGAGGATTAGGAAAACACCGTGGTCCAAACTTCTATCTGGAGGCTCTTGCAAGGAGCCAGCTGAGAGGAGATGGACTCACTGCAGCTGAGTGGTGAAGAGCAGGAGTGGTGAAGAAGAGTGGACTGAGAAAGCTGGCTGCCTGGAATGGGAGAATAGTAGGATACTAGAAAGGATGGGCCCAGGAAGCCAGGGTCAACACCTATATTCTGGCTTAGGTGACTGGCTTGTTGGTGCAGCCACTGGGATAAGGAATAAGAAAGCTGAGACTTAGAGGAGGATAGAGATGGAGACTGGGTATGTGAGAGACCATTTTAACATTGATAGGTTACTCCTTTCTACAAAGGAGAAAAGATGTCAGTAACGTTATTGCTAGTTTCTCTCAGTAGTCTCTCTCTCTCCCTCACCTCTTAGTCATTCTGTAGCCTATTTCTTTCAAATATCCAGATTCATATAATGCCACTTTCCAGTATTAGAACACAGTAGCTGCAACTAATTACTGCGGAGGTGTGTTTATTATTTCACTAGAAATGTTTATAATGTACTAATGACTTGCAAGGTACTGTGACCTGGGAAAGATAAATAAAACCTAACGGGCCTTGCCCTCATAGAGCTTACATTCTAGCAGAAGCCAAAGACATTCACCAACCAGCTACAAACCATGTAGTTTGTCATAAAAGTTCTTAAGAAGTGTAGAGTAGTATGTGCAAATAACAAGGGGGAGGGTGTGTTCCACCCAAGTTCATACATTCCCGGAAGATATTTGTAATATTTTGTCTATACCTGTATACATTTGGTGGGGGTGGGAAAGGAAGGGTAGCCCTAGCTTACATGCTCAGAGGTCTGTGACCCCTAAAAGGTCAAGACCCACTCTAATCTTCAACAGTCCATTTAAGTTCTACTGACATACAAACTTCTTCCCTGTGAGAAGGCAGCAACCAAGGGGAAAGCTAACCGTTGTCTAATCCACCAAGAATGACCCTACCTTTATTCTTACAGACATCAAAAGTGACTCATCTTCTGACTTAACCTAAGACAACATGGTGATTTTCTAAAACCCGCTTACTTTAAAAAAAAAAAAAAAAAAAAGTAGATGTTTTATTCTTTGATCGCTAGGGATTTCCAAGCACGTGCCCAGGTTGGCAATGCGAGAGTTGCAGGACACACGCAGCCCCGCAGATACCTCCCTGCCAGGACGGAACTGGCTGCACAGCGCTCCGTATTTTAGGTGCAGCCGAGAGAAGTCAGCGAATGCTTTGCGAGTCCTGACTGGGTTTACAGGCATTAAGACGGAAGTAACCATGAGCCGGAAGTCCCAGGGCCTTCACTGGGAAAGCAGTAGGGAGGGGGGGGAGGAGGAAGGCTCAGGGTAGGAATGGCGGCTCAAATTCCAATTGTGGCCACCACCGCCATTCCGGGGGTAGCCCGGAATAGCAAGAAGAGGCCAGCCAGTCCTTCCCACAACGGCAGCAACACTGGGGGATATAGCGCCAGTAAGAAGAAAAAAGTGTCCGCCTCCAGCTTAGCACAGGTACGCTGAAGTTCGGCAAGCCTGCGCGTGCGCGGTAGCCGGGCGGGGGTGGGGCGGGACTAGAGCCCTGTGGATTCGTGCGGAGCGGAGTGAAGATGCGTTAGTTGTTAGTTGCGCAGAGCGAGTCAGGGCGCATGCGCTGGTATTTGTGGCATTACGTTTTTCGTAGGTTGGACGCTGGTGCAGATGAAAGCAGTTTTTTTCCCCGTAGTTCGGACACGTGGCAATTTGATAAAGAACCTCTTGCCTTGCACTGTCCTTGAGAAGAGCTGGGGAGGTTGTTGCTGACTTAGTGTAAGGGCCGACTTTTTCCTTCAAGGTGGTGTTTAGAGCGAGGCTCAAGGCTTTTTCTTTCTGTAAGTTTCAGTTAAGCAGACGTTATGAAGTTTCACCTTTGTCCATTCGACAGACATTTACGGAGTGTCTAAGAGGTGCAAGAGCGTCCCAAAGTCCTACATGGAGGAATACTAAGATGTATTGATACGGGTGGTTTCCCTAATCCTCAGTTTTTGATCCTCAGTTTCCCCGACCCAAAGTGTGTTTGGAGTTACCATGCGGGGTTGTTAAAAGGATTCAATGAGCTCATGGTCGGAAAGCGCTGAGCATAGTGCCTCCAGACAGAACTCCCGCAAATAGCTTTCGGCAGAGGAGAGGCTTGGTTACCTGAGTGTTTTGTCTTGACTTGTGCATTTTTTTTTAAAAGCAGTTAAGAGAACAAAGATGGAGTGTGTTACTTTGTCCACACCAGCACAGGGTGTGGCATCGTTCACCCAGAACGATGTTGTAGAGATGTTAACTGCCTGTTGTTTCTTCTATTGGTAATTAACAGTGCTCTCCCTTTTTAAAAATACTTTATTAAGATATGATTTTTGCATACAGTAAAGTTCACCAATCTTGAGTACAGATCAATGATTTTTTTTTTTTTTACATGTAGCCACCACCCAGATCAAGATGGCATGATTAAGAGCCCCAGAAAATAACCTGGAGACTTTCCAGGCATTACTGTCTTCCTATTCTGACATTTCTCACCATAGGTTCCTTTTTCGAATAGAATATAAATGGAATCATACAGAACATACTCATTCGTGTCTGTTGGGGTTTCTCTGTGAAACAATGTTTTTGAGAGTCATCGATTCATTCATCTTACTACCTCTGTCAGTATACCTGGTACATTGTGTAAATATACCACAACTGATGGGCATTTCAGTCGTTGGCCATTATTAAGCTCCTTGGAACATTCCTGTACAAGACTATGTAGATACAGGCTTTCATTTCTCTTGGGTAAATAAATGGGTAGAAGTGGAATCGCCAGATCATAAAGTAGATACTTATTTAATGCAGTCAGAGATTGTTAAACATTATTTCCAAAAGTAGTTGCACTATTGTGCATCTCACCAGCAAAGTATGAGAATTCCAGTTGCTCTACATCCTCAACAACACTTGGCATAGCCCACCTCTCATTTCATCCATTCTGACTGCTATCTCACTTTTGTTTTATGTTTTGTTTCTCTGATTACTGATTACTAATGATATCAGTCACCTTTTCATATCCTTATTGACCATTCCAATATCTTTTATGAAGTACCTGATGTTTTTCTTACTGGGTTGTTTTTTAAAACAATAATATTCAAGAGTTCATCCTGATCAGTGTGGCTTAGTTGGTTGGGCATCATCTCACAAAGCCAAAGGTCACTGGTTCAGTTCCCTGTCGGGGGACATACCTGAATTGTAGGTTTGGTCCCTGGTCAGGGCGCATACAGGAGGCAACCTATTGATATTTCTGTCTCACATTGGTTTTCTTTTCCTCTTTCTCCCCCTCTCTCTCTAACAGTAAATAAATAAGATCTTTAAAAAAATTATTCAGGAGTTCTTTATATACTCTTGGTTGGAGTCCTTTGTCATATATATGCATTGCAAGTATTTTCTCCCAGTGTGTTTGATGCACACTGCTGAAGTGAAAGAAATCATGAAAAATAATAATTAATATTCACTGGGCATTTAGTATATACCAGGCACTGCTCCAAACACTTTCTAAGTACCACCTTATCTAATCCTCAGAACCACTCCCTGTGAATTGTTATTCTACAGGTAAAAAGACTAGTGCATAGACAGGTTAAGTAACTTTTCAAAGTTCGCACAGCTACCAAGTGGTAGAGTCAGGATTGGAACCCAGGCAGAACATCCAGAGTCCACATTCTTTTTTCTTGCTGTCTCTCTTGATATCATTCATCACTCTCTACCTTAGAAGGTATAATTAGATCTCTGACATAACTAAGTCTGTGTGCAGAAAAATCCTTTTCAGGGGAATTTTGTGAGATCAACATAGGGCATTTTAGACTTTCCAAATGCCTATTCTAGTTGATAAAATCTGTAGAGACACCTAATTGACCTACATACTAAATGTCACGTAATAGACTGATTTGTGATGGTTAAGCAGTTAACAAAACATCTAAAAAAGGATGAGAGGCAGCTTTGCTTTAGAAGGTTAATGTAGAATGCTGCTGATGATAGACTCCTCTCTAATTGGAGGCAGCATGCTGGACTGTTTTGATTTATTCATAAAAAAATAATCCTTCTACCTCAACTTTTAAGAAAAATCATGACAACGTTAAGCTTTAGAAGTTCCTTTTTCAATTTTTATTTTTAAAAATTTTTATTTTTATTTTTGATTTTAGAGAGAGGGGAAGGGAGGGAGAGAAGGCAAGAAACATTGATGTGAGAGAGAAACATCCAATCGGTCGCCTTCCATAAGTGTCCCAGGGGACTGAACCTGCAACCCAGGCAAGTGCCTTAACCAGGAATCCAACTGGCAGACTTTCAAGTCTTGGGATAATGCCCAACCAAGTGAGCCACACTGGCTGGGCCTTTATTTTTTTTTTCTTTCCTATTTTTAAAGTGTTCATGAAAAGTCATCCAATTTTCTTCCCCAGCAACTCTAATGGTTTGTGTTTTCTATGTATAAATATAGTTTTTCACCATTGTATTTGGCATATAACATTGTGTATCCTGCTTTTCACTTAGAATTATTTCATGGACCTGTCTCTGTGTTGATAGACTGCTCTTATTTAATTGATATTATTGAATATTTAGGTCGTATCTCACAGTTTTGCTCTTTTACGTAACCCTATACTAACCTTGTAGTCATTTAGATTAAGGTCAGCTATTTGAATCTAGAATACTACTAGATAGATGTAAGTGGACATTTTTGTTTTTCAAGGATAGGACAAAGGACATTTGTTTTTTTTTCTTTGTAACCACATACAGAATGCCCAAGTTATCCTTAATCCGAATCAGCCATGTACTCATGCAGTCTGGAGAGGTGAAGCCATTTATTCGGGCTCCACAGTTGGGCACAGCTGAGGTCTCACTGACTTGTCTCAGTTTGGGGCAGGCTTCCACGCTTCTTTGACAGCAGGCCAGGTTTCTCTTCCCTAGGACTTACATCAGCTCTTTTAGTGCTATAGGTGTTACTTCTTTCCTCCTCTTAGAGTGTTCGTGTCTTGGGGCAGGACAGCTCATCTCATAAAGTCTCTTAGTGTTATAGTGGTTTAGTAATGGGAAACTGTACATCATATTAAATTTTATTTTATTGCATCCTCGCCTCACAGACTTGATCCTACCCTTGACTGCAGGTCTCTCCCTCTCGTCCCGTCACTAACAGACACAGGAGTCTCAGCTCGGTGGCAGAAAGCCCAGGGGAGGGGAAGGATGAGAGCGCAGTGACGTGAGGGTGGAGTTGAAGAGGGAAGAGAAGCAGGAAACCCAGTTCTGGGCCCGAGTGGGGTCTTCTTTTGGAGCCTGTTCAGAGAGGGAAGAGGGCCCTGACTGTTTCAGAGACAGGAGGCAGGCCTGGAACGATGCAGCTTAGTTCACCTCAGGATGGCTTCCTTTCTCTGCCCCTTCTCAGCTGACAAGGGAGGAAAAGAAGGTGGAGCGGTCAAATGAGCAGGAGGGGTCGGTTTTGAAAATCAGTGTGTGAGTGCATCGCCTTCGCTCCCTTTTTGACTCTTCTCAAGCGTGCTCCTGTGAACGGGGATGCGAACTTCCAGCCCTCTTTTCGCGCCACCTTCCCCTTCTGCTCAGCAGATGCACCTGTCCGCCGGTGCATCCCCTCCCCTGGCAGAGTTCTCAGACGTGCCAACCCACATGGACTTCCTGAGGTCCCTGCTTTTCTTAGTGGCCTCTAGGGCAGCGCTTTCTGCCTGGGTCTCATGGAGACATTTTTGCCTGTTGATGTTCTCCTAGGTCTCCCCAGGCCTGGGAACAGCCTATGTCAAAAGAATGCCCTATATTCCTTCCCAGGATTTCACTGTGCCTTTGGCCTTATCCATTACATTTCAGGGAAGAGATATGAAGAGAGAGGGGGAAATGCCGTCTTTTAGCAGTTCTGGGAAAGGAGCTAGAGCTAATGAAGATGGCGGCACTGTGAGCTGGGCGTGTTCTCTGGATGGTTCTGTAATCACTGCTGGAGGCCTTGGGGCCTGGTTCTTCAATTCCCTTTAGTATCTCCTCTTTGCTTTTGTTGTGGTTCTACTTGCTTATTATTTTCTCCCAGATAGCAGGAACATTATATAAGTAGTCATTTTCGTTATGAAAAAACTCTATAAAGTTGAAACTTAAAGTGGATCCGGCCCCAGGAAACCTCTTTTCCATTCTGCCTGTTTTCCTGAGCTGTCCCTAGATGTCATGGTTTTTCTATCCTGATGGGATGCCCACCGCATAGTTCTTAGAGTTGTTTCTCTCCTTCTCGCTTAATTTAGGCCACCCTGTAGGCCCAGCTTCCTGGCAGCGCACGCCCGTGAGCCTTTCCTCGCCAAGCAGTCTCGTGGTGCACCATTAATGAATTGTGAGGTTCCTCAGGGTAATGGCCCTTTGCCTTCCTGTAACACTGGCGGGTGACCTGTGGGCCAAGCTTCCTCTTTCTCCCCTGGACTACCACCTCTCGGAAGAGCAGGTGACTGTCACTCTTTTTGATCCGTATGCCAATTATGGCTTCCTCCTCAGGTTCTTTGGAGTCCCTGGCTCATTCACTGTTAGGTTAACTTCTAAAAGACAAGTAACCAAATTGTTTTTCAAAGTGACATTGCCCATTTACATTTTCACAAGCAATGCATGAAGGTTCTAGTTTCTCCACATCCTCTCTAACACGTCATTATGTTTTTGGTTATAACCATCCTAGTGGGTGTGAAATAATATTTCTCATGGTTTTAATTTTTTTTATCCTCACCCAAGAACATTTTTTCATTGCATTTAGAGAGAGAGAGGAATGGGGGTAGGGGAGGGAGGGGTGAGAGGACAGAGAGGGAGAGAGAGAGACATTGATGTGAGATAGAAACATTGAGTGGACCCTGGCTGGTGTGGCTCAGTCATTGAGCACTGGCCTGCAAACCAAAGGGTCGCTGGTTCGATTCCTGGTCAGGGCACATGCCTGCGTTCTAGGCCAGGTCCCCAGTATGGGGCAGATGAGAGGCAACCACACATTGATGTTTCTCCCTTTCTTTCTCTCTCCCTTTGCCCCTGTCTAAAAAAAAATAAATAAAATCTTTTTAAAAAAGAAAGAAAGAAACATTGAGTGGTTGCCTTCTGTATGGGCCCCAACCAGGAATCAAACCCACAACCTAGGTATGTGTCCTGACTGGGGAGCCTGCAACCTTTCAGTTTTTGGGGACGACACTCCAACCAACTGAGCCCGACCGGCCAGGGCTCTCTCCTGGTTTTGATTTACACTTTCCTCATTACTAATGATGTTGAGCATCTTTTTATGTACGTACTGGTCATTTGTATATATTCTTTGAAGAAGTGTTAATCATAATCTTTGCCCCTTTTAAAATGGAATTGTTTGTCTTTTTGTCATTGAGTCATAAGAGTTCTTTATAAATTCTGGATCATCATTATTTAATTTGTTGCTCAAATTGTCTAGATTTGGCTAGTGGGCACTCTTCAAATCGGCTCCTGTATCTGTTAATATACCTCCATCATGTTTTGAGTGCTATTCACTGAATTGTGTCCACACAAGATTCATATGTGGTAGTCCTGACCCTCAGTGCACCTCACACTGTAACTGTATTAAAGATGGGACCATTAAAGAGGTAATTGAGGCTCAAGGAAGTCATAAGGGTGGGTCCGTAATCCAATATGACTGATATGCTTAAAAGAAGAGGGAGAGATGCCAGGGAGGCAGATGTACAGAAGAAAAGCCGTGTAAGACAGTGAGAGGAAGGCCATCTACAAGTTAAGAAGAGAGGCCTTAGGAGAAATCAACCTTACTGGCACCTTGACCTTGGACTTCTAGTCTCCAGAACTGTGAGAAGATAAAGTTCTGCTGTTCAAACGACTTAGTCTGCAATATTTTGTTACGGCAACCCTGGCAGACTGGTATAATAGCTTTCTTACTTTCTGGCACCTCAAGGCTCATCTTGGGCTTTCCTGACCCAGCCCTGGAGTCAGCCATTTCTTCAAGGATTACTAGTTCTTGGAAAATAATATTGAGAAGCCAGAATATGAACAGTGCTGTGCCTATTGTTCATTGTTTCCAGTCCTCTCAAACCTAAGTCAAAAACTAAGTTCATATTGGTAAGGTCTGATTTTGATCCACTAGCCTTCCCTCATTCCTTATTTGTATCATCTTAGAATACATATAAAGTAGTATATCCTTGTGAGAAACAAACCTAGCAATTGGTTATGGTTCTTTTTGCCTTTAATCTTAGGTTATATTGTCAGAATACTGTGTTCAAAGACACTAAAGCTACTTCTCCCTTCCTCCCCTTCAATGTGGTTGTTATTCAGTCCAAATACAGTTAGGTTCATTTGGTTTTGTTTGGATTCTGTTTTCTCTATCTGCTGCCCATCCTTGTTCATTTTATTATTACTACTTTTTAGTGTGTGAAACTTTAATGTGACTCAAAAGGCCAAAACTCTGCAAAAAGCTGTACTCAGAGAAGTTTACTCTTCTCTCTTCCCTTCCCATCTTCCTGTCCTTTCCACCCTATTCCCTGTCCCCCGTAGGTAACCAAGTCCAGTTGTTTCTGAATTACCCTCCCTGTGTTTCTTTGTGTTTGGCCACTGCGTCCCACCCAGAGACAGTTCCTTGCAATGAACTCCTGAGCATATACACCTTACATACTGGTGCTGGCAAGTAGTCATGCTGCTGTCGTGTTCCTTAACTCCAGTCAGTCAACCAGTCAGTGATGATTTGGCTTTTAGTCTGTGCCAAGCACCGGGCTGGATACAGAGGACAGAAGAGTGAGCCACAGAGTGGAGCACAACACTTTGATGCCTCTGTGCATTCTTTGACTCAACCCCTTCCACCATCTGCTCATGCCTCCCCTTGGTCCCTACTTCTGGTCTGTTGTTCCCCGCCTGTTTCAAAACCTGCTGTTTTTTCATTGACTAAGACATACATCCAAATTATCAATCACATATCTAATTTGTAGATATTACTCTAACAGATAGTCAACACAAAATAACATTGCCAACTGGGTACACAGGTAACATTAGTTAATGATTAAATGTGATGGGAAAATTAAATCTTCCTCATTATTAAATTGTATCTCCCAGGACACATGTACCTGGCAGAAATGCTATGACTGTGAGGGAAAAATCGCAAGTGCAATAAAAGTAAGTTAGGTACAAAATGCTAAATCAAATCTTTGTAGTACAATTAAATCTGACTAATCTTTATGAAAATAATTTTGGTGAAGCATAAATAAAAGTAGAAAAATTGGAAACTATTTGTGCCGCATAGAAAATGACAATGGATTTTGCATCAGAAAATACAAAATACAGGAAGGAGAGGGAACAAGAAGCAAGCTTGGAGAGGAGGCCAAAATTTATTCCCAGTCCCAAGGGTGGTGGGGACCACTGAGCGAGCAGCTGTAAGTAGGGGAATGACATCAAGCTTGCATTGAGGTGTGTCACTGTGCAGTAGAGGATGGCGTGGGCCAGATGTGCCCTACAGAGTCACTCCTCTGACGCTTACAGCTGAGGAAGGGGCCGGATGAGGTCAAAGGACTGTGCATTGAAAACTCATGAAACCTACACTTAAGATCTGTGCATTGTGCTCTATGGAAATTATATAACAAAAAAAGCAGTTTATTGTAGTCTGGGAAGATTGGAAATTACAGTACAAATCAGAAGTGATTTCTTACATTGTCTTGCTTTTTTTCTTTGTGAATCGTAGCTTGAAAGGTTTTTTGTTTTAAAGCACATTAGTTTGCTTGTCAGGGCACTCTGGCCGCAGCCAGCTGACTGTCTAGCCTCCTGTCCCTCAGTTCTCCTTCCTCTGAATGCCCATGTCCTGTTGTGCCCCTTGCGCATACCAGCTCTAGCCTGGGATCTGGCTGGTGACACCCTTAAAGAGGCTGGACCTTTTTTGTCCTGTTTCAAGACATAGTTTGACGAGATCAGCGGCAGCAGGGGCCATGTGGTGTCATGGAGAGCCTCAGTTTTTTCTGTATCCGGGGGATAATGGCACTACTTTGTGGTAGCCATCAGAGTTAAATGAGCCAGCTTGGGTAGGATACCCATCCCTGTGCTTGGCACATAGCAGGGTCAGAAAGCGTGGCAGCTGGGCTCCTGGTTGTCTCCCCGACGGCTTCTGCACAGCAGGTGCTGCGGCCAGTCCCACAAGCCTTCCTCTGGGGCAGGCCGCCTGCTGGGGCACTGGGCACACTGTCTTCCCTCGCGTGGTACCATCTTATGTGTTGCTGATAGCTGAGTTAGGGAACTCAGCTAAAAGATACTGACTTCCTATTATTCTTACTGTGTTTTAAGGGTATCAGCGTGGAAGCCATGAACGAGAATAAGATGGCGCCCTCTGACTTTAGCACAGGCCCTATGGAAAAAACTTCCAAAGCTTTGCCGTTTAAGGATCCCAACTTTGTGGTAAGCATCTAAAGTATATGCTTAATTAAAAACCAAACAACCAAGCCTTGGCTTCTGATCATGCTGGGCCTGCAGTTCCGGTGGCACTGGTGTCCTCTTCTCCAATGCAAGTCGCCACCTTATTTGTCATGGGCTTTGTGGGAGGGGTGGGGGCAGGAGAAGAGCCCTTCCTTTAAGTAAATGCAAGCTATTGCACTGGAAGGGTGAAACAGGTTGCTTGTCCTTTCCTTTTCAAGGGACATGATAAATTACAGTGATTCATATTACACCATTAAAAGTTTATTTTTCATTAATTTGGTTTGAAAATACAGTATTGCCAGTGCCTGCAACAGATTTTGCTGTTCTTTTCCATTTTATTTTGTCATCTTCATAAAGAAAAAAAAATTTCCAGAAGGCTTGCCACGCCGTGATTGAGGCATACTTGGGTTTCCAGGATCACCAGTAATTTGCAAGGCAGAGACTTGTCCTCAGAAAGGAGTTTAGAGATGTGGTCTAAATGAGTTTAAATCTAACTTTGTATTAAACTTGTTTTAAAGTAATGGGTAATTCATGAGTGGATTCTATAAAGTTAGACCCAATAAAGGATGTGATTTTCTGTGTGCATGTAAAAAAAAACCCAAAAACTTTTTATTTCTGCTCCATCACCAACTAACTCATGGATTTTGACAATCCAAAAGCATGGTTATTTTTGTAAGTAAAATTAAAGCATACAGTATAACACTTTTTTTAAAGAAAAGGCTTAGGGGTACAAATGATTGTTGACAGAATGAAGGATATATTACAGTCATGAACAAGCATAAATATCAGATTCCAAAACGGTACTCTCTGTTGATTTTTGTTTCTTCCTATCCATGCTTCTAACTCGAGCACTCTGGCCATGGTGGCGCAGTAGCTGGCAAGAAGAATAGAACCTGGAAGAACCTGAAACAAATTCTCGCTTCTGAAAGGGCATTGCCGTGGCAACTGAACGATCCTAACTGTGAGCTGTTTCGAGTCTTCTATGAATTTATAATGTTTAAACTGGGAACTTTCTTACAACAAACCTCAATTACTGTGTTCGCATTGATGTAGGAAATAATTTTTAGCTTAGGAATTTTATAGTGGCATCAATACAGGGAGATTATGTGTATACGTCCTCATACCTGCATTTGGGTGGTCATGGATGTGTGGCTTTTAGTGTCACTGTTAATGTCAATCTGGAGAAATAAGTCCTAATATAAAATAATATTGGTGTTTCTGTTTGACATACTTCTTATTCAGAAGTCTACTCTTAAACTTTGTTTCCAAGAATGAGGTTGCCCCAGATTTAGGAGGTTTTCTAACAACCAGCTTACATGCCAGCTCTGTTTTACTCTCTGAGCCGGTGTTTTGCAGGGTAAATGCTTTATGCTGCAGTGTTTCCAAATCTATGTAAAGCACTGTTATATGTTCTGTTGGGCTTCACTGGAAAGTACAGGTAAGTTTCCTTCAGCTCTTGTCCCATTGCACATCTTCATGGAGGTGACTCAGATGAATGCAAAGTGAGCTAGTCAGTCGTCTGGGTGTGGACATCCAGTATCCGGATGCTGAGATCTAAGCAGTGGGTTGTGTGGCGTCTCATCACATCAGTCTGTGTAGCCCGAGACAGTGAGAACAGCCTGTGGGCAGACGAACTGCCCGGTGGTTCTGCTGGAGTAGAGGGTCCCTGGGGACAGGGCAAAGCTAGTCAGAGCCTGCCCTTGGTCTATGACACACTGCATTATTTCCCCCAGAGAGTTCTGTGGGTACTTCATCTCAAATAAAAAATTCAGAAATACTATTAAACAGTACTTTTTATATTCTTTTTAATTTTTTTTAATTGTTCAAGCAGTATTTTAGATTAAAAAGGAAGGGATCTGAATGCTTGAAAGCCAGTTTAGTTATATTTTTCTTTTTCTGTTCTTTTTCAGACTTCAGTATTGATGCTCCTCCATCCTTCAAACCAGCTAAGAAGTATTCTGATGTTTCAGGTCTTCTTGTGAGTATAATTACATCTCTATGTCTTTTAAGACGGAATTGGAAGGAAGATTTCACAGTGTGGTCTATTTAGACAGTGCTGAGTATTGACCACCAGCTGTCCTGCCTGGAGCCTGTGTACTTTGGAGAGGTCATGGGTTTGTGCTGAAGTGTTCACGTGTTTACTCTAGAGCGGCTGGGACCTGGGACATCCTTTGGGCGACCTGGAGAGAGGAATCCTCCAGAAAAAAAGAGCCAAGTTTTACTTCCCCTTCCTGTGCTTATATGAAAGATGGTTCGTATATATCATGTTAACTACATGAAAAAAATTATTATTATTTTTTCCTGCTGAAGTTTTAACAAACTTCTGCATTTTGGAGATGATAGTACTCTTTAAAAAATACTTAAACTTCTCTAAAGAGGCATTGTGGTAAAGGTAGTGGTTTTTAAACATATTTTTAAGCACCAGAACCCCTTTTTCTGAATGAAATCTTTTACAGAATCCCCTGGAGCCCACGTACCCACTGTGGTCCCGTGTGGACCTGGCCCTCTGTCCTTATCCCCACCGCCCCAACCACAGTGACCTCAAAAGCGCTTCTGGGGAACCCAGGTTGGGAATCAGCAGTAGAGTTGGATGAGTGAGACTCAGGCAAGGCACTGAACCCCAGGAACCTCAGGGAGCTTCGTTTCCTTTTCAGAATATACATGAAGGGTGGAACTTTCAGCTCACCTCTTCTCCCTTTGCATCTCTATTCAGTTTGGAAGATGTGCTTTATTTTTTTCATAACTGTAGAGATAATGAGTCACTTCACTTTTAAAAATCATTCACATCATTTAAATGCTTTACATGTTTATGAAAATGTATGACTCCAACTTCTGTAACAAACTGCCTAAATGATACACATTTTACATTGGGAAGGATTTGAGTTTTTATTGTAATTTTGAAAATATACTCTAAATAAGTCACGTATTTTAAGGTTTTCTCCAGAGAGCCACACTCCTCAGTGTACTACAAATTTGTAAACATAGATCCTTAAATACAATGATCCTAAAAAATGATAGCGTAGAAGTGCTATAAAATGGTACGTGCAAAAGTGTGTGTGTGCATGCGTGCATGTGTGTGCGTGTGTGTTGAGTCCTTTTTGCATCATTCAGGGCATGTATCCTAAAGGTCCCCTGATGGGACTTCACCTTGAAAGAAGCGTTGTAGCCTTCTGCGGTCTCTTGTCTACTGCCTGAAAATGATTGCCTCATCCAATTGACCCTTTTTAATAGTAGTTTGTAGCAGAAGAGCTGGCTTGGCACCAGTTATTCTTTTTTGGCCCCAAGTGGAAATTTCTCCCTCTGCCATTTTGGGCCAAGCTTGTAGAAGCCATGGTTTATGGCCAGACTTGGGGGGTGCCCCTTAGAATGTAGCTTTATCGTCACCATTATCAGGCAGCTCACCTGCTAATACAGGGTTTTTCACATATTAGGAGGCATGAAAACCATTGTAACAAGCATAGTTCCAGGCCCCTGTATGCCATTGACAAAGGATTTGTCATGTTATATAAAACCTAAATCTCTTGCCCCAATGCATATAAAATTTAAGAAATTCTGAATATACAAAGAAGTCCAAATAATTTAAAGACAAATCCATAGGAGAATTGGCTGAAAGGGTATAAATAGACAATTACAAGGAGGAGATACGCATGACTAATAAGTAGATATTCAAGGTCACTGATAATTAGAAAAAAGACTGAGCAGGTAGGGAAGAAATGAAGATGTTAGGTTATATACATTGTCACCGACATATGTAAATGGATATCCTTATACGTTGCTGTGTTGATCTACCATTTGCCCTCTAGACAGCTCCCTGAGAAACAGTGTGCTCAAGGAGCATCAGGCAGAAATGCTTATGAGAAAATGTAGTAGCAAAATTTTGGGAACAACATACAGGTCAGTCTCTGGGGACAGCAGGTGTTTTCATACTACTCTGTGAGCTCAATTTATCCATAACAACATGGGTTAACTTCCAAGATACATTGTTTACTGAAAGGTGCAAAGCAGTGCAGGCAGCATGGCACCACCTAAGTAAAAATCAGCACATACTTAGGCAGAAATATAAGATAATTTCTCTGGTGTGTTTATATACGTGTGTAAGGATATATACACACAAGGCCTGGAAAGCTGCCCACCCAGCAGCGGTTTCCTCAGGGGAGGGCGAAGGATATTGGATGGTAGATGGCAATACAAAGGGACTCTAGTCATATTCATGATGTTCTCTTTTTCTTTTCTTTTTTAGAGGAAAATATGTTCATCTGTTACTTGTTTGAATTAAAGTTACACAATTAAAAAGTAAAGCCCAACTCATGTTTACACTGACCCACCTCTTCCCAGCCAGCCAAGTGATGTGAGGGACTGCCGGTCCCGTGCATGGGTGTGGCAGGGATGTTGCAGGGTCACAGAAGGGGTTGGCCCTTGTTACAAAGCCAGGGAAAGTACTGTGGCTCTGGGAGAGGCAGGCGGCCGCGGGAGGTTGGGGGGAGGGGGGGTAGGGGTGGCGGAGGAGGGCAGCGAACACTGCCTCTCACTCTCCAGCAAGGAGGGCCTGTGAGCTGTGTGCTGCCTGCCCTCTGTGGAGGTGGCCTTTGTTTCATTCAAGCTCCCAGAGGGCCCAACAGTAGGAGTGCAGTTCTTGACTCGTTCAGCTGTGCCGTGCCACTCGGCGTCCTCCCCTCTGTTCAGAATACTAGGTCTGCTCCACTGTGTGCAAGTTCTTCTTGGTGACCCCTTTGTTGGTGCCACAGTATCTGTGTATCCGCATTATTTATTCAGCAGCCTTCTTGGCAGTGAGGTCTGAACTTGGGCGGCCTGGCTCAGCTTGGTATGGTGGTAGGAGTGAGGCAGCCACAGGAATGGAGCCAGGCCAGGCTGCTTCGTATGTGGGGGCCCGATGATCAAAGCCAGATGCGCATGCCCGCGCCCCTGCTCGGAACTGCAGGGCAGCCTCCTCTGCCAGTCCGTTCATCTGTCTGCCTCGTGGCCAGGAGCCTCAGAAGGCACTCTTGCTGTTTTTCTACTTAAGCCTTCCTTGTATTACTGTCCTATGTTACATTACTTTCATGTGTTACAGAAAGGCAATATCTAGATCAAACCCAAGGATCAAAGTTTTATTTCTTATAGAGCTTTAATTAATCTTAATTTTTTAGAAATAATCTCTTTTTCCCGGCAGGAAGCCATTAAATACCTAAGGAGATCCCCAGTGGCAGGATTGAAGATGTTTTAGCTTATGAGAAACCTATGACTCAGTTCTCTTCAGCCTGTAGCTTCTTCACTTCCCTCCCTGATTAAATCACAACGTTGCTGCGGCTAGGTCCACAGAGATGCACAGCGCTGAAGCAAACAATCCACACTTGAGTAATTGGATGTTATCTGTCTAGACTTTAATGGCATCTCTTATAATTTTTTTAAAGAAGCTCCAAATGACTCACCCTCATGTCTCCTGTTTCAAAATCTGTAGAAGCCATGTACGTGCCTTGAGGTATATAGTGAATGACTTAGATCCTCCACTCTGCACGTGGGAAAAACGGACCAAAAGGGAATTTTGGTATGTCAGTGGGAAACAAGCTCTCTTCTCTGATGGTCCTAATCGTCCATCAGAGGTTCAATTTGTTGGTTCATTCATTTATCATTTGCTGTACAAACACTGCCTGAAGGCCTACTGTGTGCTCTGCATTGCCCTAGGAGCCAGAATTCAGAAATAAGCACACCCCAGGGTCCCTGCTTCAGGGAGCCTCAGAACCCAGGTCTTAGTCAAAGAGTCATGGAGGTGATAAACTTAAAAGCAGCAGAGATACACGTTCCACAGGAGACACATGTGGTGAGGTGAAAGTGGGGTCCTCACCTCCTGTCGGGGGGCAGATGGTAAGACTTCGGGGACAGAGTGCTGGAGGATGAACAGGTGATTACTGAGCATGGTGGGCCAGGTGGGGACCCTTTCCAAGGACAGGGCGAATGGGGCATGACAGGAGGGAGGCCCTTAGAGCCTTGGAAGCTGGAACCAGTGAGTAAGGAAGTGCGGCTGAGAACAGCTGGCAGGGACGGAGGGGCCATGCTGAGGACTTGGGCCTTTGTCCTGAGAACAGAAAAGAGCCATTAAGAGGTTTCATGAAGAAGGACATGACCAGAATTGCAAGTTGCCAAGGCGACTCTGGCTGCAGTAGCAGGATGCTGTCCCTTCCAGTGGCAAGTGGGGGTGGGTGGTCCATCCAGCACTGCACTGGAGCCCGGGAGCCGCGGAGGCAGCTCGGGGAGCGGGTGGAGGAGCGGGGGAGGGGTGCCCTGGGCGTAGGGAGCGGGCCGCGGGGGAGGGCGCTGTGCCAGCGCGCGTGGCAGTGCTGCTCCCTGCTTTGGGGACAGATCTGGAACATTTGTTCGATGCAGGTGGGAGTCTGACGGCAGGGATGAGCATCGTGAATTCAGTTTTGAACCTGTTGGTCGTAGCCCTTGAGGCACGAACCAGAAGAGTCCCAGTGTCTGTTGTGGTTATTCCTTCTCCTCTCCCTGACGTATTGCTCAAGTCTGGGAGGATTAACGCGTCTTCGCCAAAGTGAGCAATTTAGTGCTCTTGGTGACAGAGTAGGACATTATGAAGATATATGTCACTTTCAGTAAAATAAGGAAAAAAAATTAAACTTGAACTTAAAATAGTCACTGCCACCACCACTAACTCTGTGTTCCTCCGTGCCTGTTTCCCACCCAGGCCAACTATACTGACCCACAGAGCAAGCTACGGTTCAGCACCATCGAAGAGTTTTCCTACATTCGGAGGCTGCCATCCGATGTTGTCACCGGCTACCTGGCCCTGAGAAAGGCCACAAGCATCGTTCCGTGAGCCTTGAGAAGTGGCTATGAAGTGGAAAACTATTTCAGAGGCAGTTGGACTCATAATTTTGTTTCATGGAAACATATTCATTCTGCTGTCAATCTGGAAATGTCAGTGCTGTGCCTTGGAAAGAATGTTTGGCTTTCATTTAAGGTGTTTTTTTTTTTTTTCTATGTTTTTCCTTCAAGTGTGATATTTCCTGTTGAGTTAAATTATATTTCATTCGTTGCTTCAAGTAAAGTCATTTGACAAGAAAATATGAAATTGTGCTTTTAATTTAACCCAAGTGCATCCCTAAATTTTTGCTTCAAAGTTGTAAACTCTCATAACACATTTAAAGACTCCATAATAAATCTTGACAACAGAACTGGATTATTCCTGATTCCAGTGACTCCCTCTTTAGAGCATATTATCCTTCTCTTTGATCAGAATATCTGGAGGAGGCCCAAAATTGGAACTGGAGAAGAAAGGGCTGAGTAACTCGCCCTGCCACACGGGGCACGTCCTTACCCTGTACCTCAGCCTCCGAATCAGCTTCTCTTCCAGCCAACACACCTGAGAGAGACACTCAAGGGGGACTCAGAAAACACCAACCAGAATTATCGTCTGGAGTGCAGAGCCCTTGTAGTACAGATTTCCCCCATTAGGTGAGTGTTCCAGGAACCCTTCTGTATCAGTGCACCAGCTGGTGGTGGTGTGAGAAGCTGTGTTTGGCTTCAGTGAATTTTTTTTTGAAGACCCTTTCAGTGTGTTTGCCCATTTTGTGATGGGTGATTCACGAGCGCACCTGCCCTCACCATGCTGAGTGTTCAGCAGTTTTTGGCTAAAAAACAACATGACCCCCATACCCTGCCCTCCCTATTCACCCGGTCTGACCCCCAGCAACTTTGTTCCCCCATAAAAAAAAGTCCTCAAAGGGAAACGTTTTGCAGATGTGGAAGAGGTGAAACAAAAAATGGAAGAAGCACTAAAAGACATCCAAATCAATGAGTTCAAAAATGGTTCTGAGCAGTGGAAAAAATGTGTCAATAGGTGTATTATATCAGATGGAGAGTACTTTGAAGACGACTGAAGTTTGAACATGTAAGAAAAAATACACAATTTTTTATAAATAAATTCTGGGGTTTTTTTGTCCTCCCTTGTATGCCTGTTAAGTCACCAGTTTGTGGCATATCGTTGTTGCAGCCCGAGCTGACTGAAACCCATTGCTGGAGGTGTGGGTCCAAACATTAACTCCCCTTCTAAGAAGGGCTTTTGTCCTGGTCCGCGATGTAGCCCCTTTGACTGAAGCCTGCTGCACAGCGGCAGCGTTTGCTTCCTGGTCCTGAGAGGAACAGAGGCACTCCCGGGCCAGGAGAAGGGGAGTGAGGAGGTTTACCCCAGCCTCTCCGAGTCCGACTCCCATATTTCTCTAGGGAGGGCAGTGGAGCAAGACCTTGGGGCTTCTGAACCACAGTTGCCTCAACTGTTGGTGCGGCGGGGGGGCGGGGCAGGGGCAGGATTAGGCACCCAGTGCCTTTTATTTCTGAGGGAAAGCATCCCTCCCCCACTGCAGCCCTCTCAGGTTTAGAGAAAAGAAAAACAAAGCTAATAGTCAGCTGGGAGAGCAGCCAGCTGGGCAGGTGGCAGCTGCCCGGAACCTGGCTTCCTTTTTCCTCTGGCCCAAGCAGCCTCTGTCATTCAGCACCTTGCAAGCGGGAGGGGTGCTGCGTGACTACTCCCTCCCCCCATGAAAAGGAAATGAGAGGTGGGGAAACTTCCCTAAGCCCATGAGCAATGAAGCATTTGAGCCCCTGGTGCAGGGTCCCACAAAGCTGAACAACAGCAGAAGCACCTGAGGCCTTGTCCTAGCACAGATTGAGGGCCCCACCCCCGGGGAGCCTGATTCCGTAGGTATGGCATGGGGCCAGGAATTTGCATTTCTAACAAGTGATGCTGATGTTGCTGGTCCAGGGACCTCACACTGAAACCCACTGCAGAAACTAAAGTTCTCTGACAGGCCAGAGGCTGCTTCTTGGGTTCCTCTGTCTCCTGCATTTCCAGCTCCCAGTCACGCTAGGAACACCCCCAGCCCCAGCCCCTGTTTCCCTTTTGGCGAAACGGAGTAAGTGAGCCAAAGGCTCTTCCTGCTTTGCTTCCACCTTCTATTATACAATGAAAACTCGGGCAGGTGCAGTTTTTTCCCGTGAAGGACCCCCGCCCCCCGCCACAATCGGATAGCACCCCAGCAACACTTTTCTAACACTGACCACTGGCTGCTACCTCAGACCCGCCTACTCAGTCTGCTGGGCCAGGGTTGAGGGCAAAGGAGAGAACCTGCCCAGCAGGTGTCCACCGTGGGGCGCACAGACAATTGCCCCTGCAGGCCTCGCAGGGCTTCCGGGGGTCTGTGCCATGAACCCTCTGACAGAGTCACCCAAGACCCTGGGACGGACACCCTGGACCTGACCGCTGCAGAGAGTGAGGCCCAGGCGCCTGCATCTAACACGCATCCCAGCTTGAATGTGATGCACAGGAGTGTGAGAACCGCTGCCTTCCGCAGGCAGAGGGGAAACACGTGTGCCGGACACCTGCCTCCCTCCTTTCCTGTTCCCCTGCCAGGGTGTCCCTGCCAGGATGCCCCTGCCAGGGTGTCCTTGCCAGCCTCCTTTTGCCAGAGAGCCGAGTTCCAAAGACCAGGTCATTTCTGTCACCCCAAGCAACAGGGGGCCAAGCTGAGCCAAACTAAGCTTCAAGCTGTGAACAGTTCCAACAATGCGCCCTCCCACAGGGTTTGGAGCGGGCGGGTAGTCTGGTGCCAATAGCCCTTGCTGTCCATGCCAGGGCCGGTGACTCTCAGCCCCGGCTGCCCATTAGCATCACCTGTGTTGAGGGGACGGCGAAGGGAGACACAAAAATACCCAGGGATTCTGATTCAGCTCGCCTGAGCTGGGGCCTGGACGCAGTATTTTTTAAACTCCCCAGATGATTCTCATGCGCAGCCGGTGTCGGGAATCCTTGCTGTAACTATGAAGTGAGTAATTCACACAGGGTATGTTTTCTTCACAGTTCGGCTGGCTGTTGCCATCCCAGGGCCGTGGGCAATTTGGAAAAGGGTTGTGTGTGTGTGCATGTGTGTGTGTGTATTGAGGGTTCCTTTTCACACAGCCTCCCAGAACTGGAGTTGGAAACATGAATGTCACTAAAGATTCCTCCCCCTTCCATCTAAATCCCCTGCCACACACACACATGCAATCAGTCCCCACATTTCCTCTTCCATCTGCCCTCTTCCTACTCCACATCAGGAGCACATCACTTCCGGCCTGGACATTTCAGTGTCTTTGTACCTGCTCTTTCTGCCAGTCTGACCCCCACCCCTCCACTTTCCCCTCTGCCATCAGAGGGCCTTTCCGCAGTTTTGGATGAGAACTTGTCTTTGCCCGTCATGGCACGTCCACTGGTGATTTGTCTCAGAGACCTTGTTAATTCTGGCATTGGCCTATAGGATACGAAGGCCAAATGCAGCCTCTTAAAAGAGAGAACAATTAGCTGAGAAATCAGATTGTTTCAAGACCAAAACGAGGTCCTATCTTCTCAGAGTGGAGCTGGACTTCCCCATTACCTGATACTTGTCTTCACTTTAAGAGGAGGAGAGCAGTGTGTCATTGGGCATAGTTTAGAACTGCCTGTAAGTTTGGACAAGTGCTCTCCAGAGTTGGGAGCAGTCCATGTGGATGAGGCGGACCCATTTTGCTCCCATTTCCCAAGTTAAAGCATGTATCCACCTGGACTTAAATATATTCTGTAACTGGGCCAAAAGTGTTTTCAATGAGGAATCTCTCATTGCTGAATCCCTAGTCGCTGGAAGGAGACATTAGACACTGGATGCTGTTTCCAGTGACCTAGAACAGTGAGTTGGCGTGCCTAACTTAGCAGGTATAAAGGGTAAGGAAAGGAACTAATGGAGTATGAAGTAAAGAAACCTGACCAAACAGGACAGAACAAATAGGACAGATATCTTGGGAAGAGATTGAAAATGATGTCCTCTTACAAAGGCATGAAATGATTATCATTATTTAAAATAATATTCTCTCTGATAGGAATGTGTGGGCCCTATTTGGATTCTGATTTTTTTAAAAAAAAAAACATCTTTGAGACAATTGGAAATTTGATACTTGATGATATTTAGGAACTCCTATGAATACTTTTAGCTGTGATACTGGTTTTGTAATGTTAAAAGAAAAGATTCATATCTTTACGAGGCACATACTGAAATATTTATGGATGGAATGATATGATATCTGGGATTTGCTTCAGGATAATACGAGAGAGAGGAAGTGGATGGGAGTAGTGTTGAAATAGATTGGCCATGAGTCAATCATTGTTGAAACTGAGTGATGGGTACATAGAAGTTCATTATACTTTCTACTTTCATATATTTGAATTTCTCCATAATAAAAAGTTTTTAAAAGCATATGATGTTTTTCTTCCTAAAAATTTTGATGAATTTGTACCTAATGTTGGTGGCCTGCATTAGCTTCCAGTGGCTTATGGATGCTCAGAGTTTGAGAAATGTTGCCTGCATGGCATGAGGTCTTAAATAGGGAGAATACCCAATTCCTAAAGCGTTTCACAAAGAGTAGCCTGGAAGAAAAGAACCACAAAGCAGGTGAAGTTGTCCTCTAGATATTTTAGCCGAGGTCTTCATTGCATGTTCTATTGGCTGTATTTCCTGTGTAGACATTGGCATGGGAGTGGAGAGACCAAAGACATCAACTTTTAATTTCTCCTGGGGTATTAAAAAGTTGTATTAGAGTGGGTTTGGGATGCAGTAGAACAAGTCACTGTGGTTTGAGAAAATACCTGTTGATCTACTTCCTGGTAGAATTTGCAATATTTATACATCTACACAGAGAAAGAACTTAGATCATCAAAGAACTTAACACATGGACAAACTTTTAGTTCAAGGAATTGCTTTCACTGAATTTCAACTGTGTTTATGCTTTTGTGCCTATATTACAGCATTGCATTGAAAGAGCAGAGGTGGCACAGCCCTACAACAATTCCAACTGCATGTGTTGCAGAAACACCCCCATAGGATGCCCCCACTGCCCAGCAGGGAGAGTTTCTCGGTTTGGCACTGAGACATGGAGCCTGATAGCCTGGGTTTGAATCTTCTTTCTACAACTAATTGTTTGGTTTTGGGAAAACTACTAACTTTCTCTCAAATTCTCAGATTCCTTATCTGTAGAGTGAACATCATAATAGTATCCACCCTACATGATCACCAGGATCACATGAGAAAATGACAGAAGAGCATTTAATTCAATCCCTGGCCCACATGCCCAGCAAGTGAGAATTGTGATCACTCACCTTCCTCTGGTCTCTTTTCCTGACTCACAGGTAGATGTGTGCTTTCTGTCGGATTAGTTTTTCTCTTGTGGCTGTTAGGGCTCTTGGATCCAAATCTGCAGCCCACTTGAAGCAATTAAACAACGTATAACCGACATATCTTTGTGTTCCTCTCATGGCTGGCTCTGTCATCTTCATTGCTTATCTTGGCCATTTGTTCCATCTTTTATTCCATGTAGTTTTATAAGCTGGCTCAATGGTTTTATGGAGCAATGGGAGGAGTAAATAACCAGCTAAATAAATAA